GTGAACAGAGTCTGGCCAGAGATGACTACCACTTACTTGACCGGCATGGGCAGGTCATTGTCTTACGTCTCAGGACAGGACATAACAAACTTAACCAGCATATGCACAGGCTCGTCTAAGTAGTTCACCTTTGTGCCCTTGTGGGCTATGTGTGCAGACTACAGAACATGTCCTGCAAGACTGTCCCTTGTTCATCACATTAAGAAGGGAATACTGGCCCAGTGAGTCACCACTGTACACAAAGTTGTATGGGACTGAAAAGGAACTCATAAAAACAGTCAAGTTTATCACAAGAACCTGTCTGTCGGTGTAAATCAGAAAGCGAACACAAGAAGAAGAAGACACTTTGTGGTAAGTAGCAACACTCTTGTAGAGACTTTGTGGTAAGTAGCAAAACTCTTTTAGACACTTTGTGGTAAGTAGCAACACTCTTGTAGACACTTTGTGGGAAGTAGCAACATCATTTTAGATATTTTGTGGTGAGTAGCAACACACTTTTTAGACACTTTGTGGTAAGTAGCAACACTCTTGTAGACACTTTGTAGTAAGTAGCAACATCACTTTAGATATTTTGTGGTGAGTAACAACACACTTTTTAGACACTTTGTGGTAAGTAGCAACACTCTTGTAGACACTTTGTAGTAAGTAGCAACACTCTTGTAGACACTTTGTAGTAAGTAGCAACACTCTTGTAGACACTTTGTAGTAAGTAGCAATACTCTTGTAGACACTTTGTGGTAAGTAGCAACACTCTTGTAGACACTTTGTGGTAAGTAGCAATACTCTTGTGGACACTTTGTGGTAAGTAGCAATACTCTTGTAGACACTTTGTGGTAAGTAGCAACACTCTTGTAGACACTTTGTAGTAAGTAGCAATACTCTTGTAGACACTTTGTGGTAAGTAGCAACACTCTTGTAGACACTTTGTGGTAAGTAGCAATACTCTTGTGGACACTTTGTGGTAAGTAGCAATACTCTTGTAGACACTTTGTGGTAAGTAGCAACACTCTTGTGGACACTTTGTAGGAAATATGTAAGATGGTAACAATGGTGGGGGCCTGGCCACTGTCTCAATGTTTGTTGCACAGGTGTTGAGGAGGACATTTTCTTCATTGAGGAAGGGGGACTGTCCCTCCTACCAATTTTTTTTTGCCCTGAAAAGTTGTCAAGTGGAGGTTCTGAGAAATTTTGACTCAACCTGTAAACAATGCATCGGCTCATGAATGCATATGACTTTGGTGCTATGCTTTCAGCTACCGAAACCCCCCGTGTGGGTTCTAGGGCCCCATTGTGGGGAAAACAAGAATAGACCCACTGCCTCCCCAAAAGCATGTCATAAAAGTCGACTAATTGGGGAGCTTCCTTTGAAGTCGGAGTGCATCTGCCAAAAAGGCAAGGAACCAACAGCCTGTATTCAAGAGAATGAGATCTTTAAAACTGATGCACACGCAACACTCAGATTCTGGAGCAGGACTGCAGTTTAGAAGTGGACGAGCAACCAGAACTTTCCGCCAGAGTGTACAGCTGGTGAACGTGAAGAAGAATCTACCGAAACATTGTCATTGTGTTGTGAGAATCATTTAGTGATAGCTTGCTCTGACAGCCAGTTCAGTGACGACATGCGCATGCTTTAAATTAAAAGCCAGTAATGACATATGTGAGAGCCGTTTAGTTACGACATGCTCTGAGAGCCATTCAGTGACGACATGCTCTAAGAGCCATTCAGTGACAAAATGCTCTGAGAGCCATTCAGTGACGACATGCTCTGAGAGCCATTCAGTGACGTCATGCTCTAAGAGCCATTCAGTGACAAAATGCTCTGAGAGCCGTTCAGTGACGACATGCTCTGAGAGCCATTCAGTGACGATATGCTCTAAGAGCCATTCAGTGACGAAATGCTCTGAGAGCCATTCAGTGACGACATGCTCTAAGAGCCATTCAGTGACGAAATGCTCTAAGAGCCATTCAGTGACGACATGCTCTAAGAGCTATTCAGTGATGGTATGGATCTGAGAGCCATTCAGTGATGGCATACTCTAAGAGCCATTCAGTGACGACATGCTCTGAGAGCCATTCAGTGACGACATGCTCTGAGAGCCATTCAGTGATGGTATGGATCTGAGAGCCATTCAGTGACGGCATGCTCTGAGAGCCATTCAGTGACGACATGCTCTAAGAGCCATTCAGTGACGAAATGCTCTGAGAGCCATTCAGTGACGACATGCTCTAAGAGCTATTCAGTGATGGTATGGATCTGAGAGCCATTCAGTGATGGCATACTCTAAGAGCCATTCAGTGACGACATGCTCTGAGAGCCATTCAGTGATGGCATGGATCTGAGAGCCATTCAGTGACGACATGCTCTGAGAGACATTCAGTGACGACATGCTCTAAGAACCATTCAGTGACGACATGATCTGAGAGCCATTCAGTGACGACATGCTCTGAGAGCCATTCAGTGATGGCATGGATCTGAGAGCCATTCAGTGGCGGCATGGATCTGAGAGCCATTCAGTGACGACATGCTCTCAGAGCCATTCAGTGATGGTATGGATCTGAGAGCTATTCAGTGACGACATGCTCTAAGAGCCATTCAGTGACAATATGCTCTAAGAGCCATTCAGTGACGACATGCTCTAAGAGCCATTCAGTGACGGCATACTCTAAGAGCTATTCAGTGACGACATGGATCTGAGAGCCATTCGGTGACAACATGGATCTGAGAGCCATTCGGTGACAACATGCTCTAAGAGCCATTCAGTGACGGCATACTCTAAGAGCCATTCTGTGACGGCATACTCTAAGAGCTATTCAGTGACGACATGGATCTGAGAGCCATTCAGTGGCGGCATGCTCTAAAAGCCATTCAGTGGCGGCATGGATCTGAGAGCCATTCAGTGACGGCATGGATCTGAGAGCCATTCAGTGACAGCATGGATCTGAGAGCCATTCAGTGATGGCATGGATCTGAGAGCCATTCAGTGACGGCATGGATCTGAGAGCCATTCAGTGATGGCATGGATCTAAGAGCCATTCAGTGACGACATGCTCTGAGAGCCATTCAGTGACGGCATGGATCTGAGAGCCATTCAGTGATGGCATGGATCTAAGAGCCATTCAGTGCCGGCATGCTCTGAGAGCCATTCAGTGACGTCATGCTCTGAGAGCCATTCGGTGATGGCATGGATCTGAGAGCCATTCAGTGATGACATGGATCTAAGAGCCATTCAGTGACGACGTGCTCTGAGAGCCATTCAGTGACGGCATAGATCTAAGAGCCATTCAGTGCCGGCATGCTCTGAGAGCCATTTAGTGATGACATGCTCTAAGAGCTATTCAGTGAAGACATGGATCTGAGAGCCATTTAGTGATGGTATGGATCTGAGAGCCATTCAGTGACGACATGCTCTAAGAGCCATTCAGTGACGACATGCTCTGAGAGTAATTCACTGACGACATGCTCTAAAAGCCATTCAGTGACGACATGCTCTGAGAGCCATTCAGTGATGGCATGGATCTGAGAGCCATTCAGTGATGACATGGATCTGAGAGCCATTCCGTGACGACATGCTCTGAGAGCCATTCAGTGACGACTGCTCTAAGAGCCATTCAGTGACGACATGCTCTAAGAGCCATTCAGTGATTGCATGGATCTGAGAGCCATTCAGTGACGACATGCTCTGAGAGCCATTCAGTGATGGCATGGATCTGAGAGCCATTCAGTGATGGCATGGATCTGAGAGCCATTCAGTGGTAGCATGGATCTGAGAGCCATTCAGTGATGGCATGGATCTGAGAGCCATTCAGTGTAGACATGGATCTGAGAGCCATTCAGTGACTACATGCTCTAAGAGCTATTGACGACATGGATCTGAGAGCCATTCAGTGATGGCATACATCTGAGAGCTATTCAGTGATGGCATACTCTAAGAGCAATTCAGTGACGACATGCTCTAAGAGCCATTCAGTGATGACATGCTCTAAGAGCCATTCAGTGACAACATGCTCTAAGAGCCATTCAGTGACGGCATACTCTCAGAGCTATTCAGTGACGGCATGGATCTGAGAGCCATTCAGTGACGGCATGGATCTGAGAGCCATTCAGTGACGACATGCTCTAAGAGCCATTCAGTGACGGCATGACTTGAACACATTCAGGGGTAGGATGCTCTAACAGCCCTCACTTATGCAGCAAAATTATCTTTACGAAATGAATGCAAGTAACACAAACAATGATCAATAGATTTATTTCAGTGTCACAAATCTCCAGCAATGCTATTACAAAACAAGTATTCAAAATGAGCAGTTACCAACAACACACACACGTACGAGACAAAGACATCCTCAACATTCAATCAGAATAAGCATAAAAAAACCTACCCATTCCCGTGTTAGGAACTATTTAACAACTATTATTTCTTAGCTTTATGGGATCTAAACAATAACATACTGTTATATACTGTCTTCCCACCAAGACTTCAATTTAAAATTTAATGATTTAAACAGTCTCACTCAGGCTTTGCTCTTTTGTGTGTGTGAACCCGCCCACCTCGTGATCATAAAAATGTGGTTGTGCTGTTAATGTCACACATGAGTTTGGCACCATGAACTTTGTCTTATTACTGACAACAGAGGTTTTCCGGACATCTCTCTTATTATCAATTTGTTCGTGAACAATTAAATGAAGTCTCTCTGTCTTGAGCCTAGAGGTTGTTTCCCGTTTTTCACTAAAGTAGGTTAAGTTTAAAAAAGCAGCCTTAAGAATAGAAGACAAGATTATTGATAAAAAAAACATCACCAACTGGCTCAAGTGTTTACAAAAATTAAACTGGGAAAACAGAATTTTGTTTAACATTTGTCTTTTTCAGCCACAGGTTCTTTCGGGATCTCTAGAAGTTTTCTTTAAAAAAAAAAATTATGTTAACAAAGCTGTATTGTAGAACAACGCAAACACAAAAATGGTAACAACTATTAACTAAACTGTCAACCCTGCTAGTGCTCTACAGATCTTCATCATCTGAATCATCCGATTCTTCCAAAGCTTCCTGCAAAAAAAAAAGAAAAAAAAACGTGATGAAAAGTCGCAAAGGACAATGTCAAAGTTATAGAACCTAATATCTGGATAGGAAATGATTGTGGCTAGCACTAAAATATGTATAACATAAGTATACAACAGGAGCTGCCATGTTGTAGTGGTTAGATGCTCGCTTGTGGGTTTACAAAGCCAAACTTTCAAAAAAAAATGATATTAGCTCCCAGATCGATCTGGCCTTGACTGGGTTATAAGGTAAAGTCCTGGGAAGTAAAGGAGGCTGGCGAGATGCTGACCAGATTAACTACTGACTACCGATTGGTCCAAAAACATAGGTCTTGCCCTACATGCCCAATACGCCTAAAGGCATGGAAAAGGATTCTTCACTTTGCTATGTTTACAGCATCGTGTCAACATAAAAGCAAAGCAAGCTGGTGGATGGATACCGTTCAGCTGTTCTGCAGGTGACTCAGCAAGGAAAAGCTGTAGGAGACAACCTAGGTAGAAAGCAGAAGCTGGCCTACCAGACATGGGTGTGCAAGTTACAGTGAAGACCCTGGTACACATTAGGACACACATGGGTGTGCAAGTTACAGTGAAGACCCTGGTACACATGAGGACACACATGGGTGTGCAAGTTACAGTGTAGACCCTGGTACACACATGGGTGTGCAAGTTACAGTGAAGACCCTGGTACACATGAGGACACACATGGGTGTGCAAGTTACAGTGAAGACCCTGGTGCACATGAGGATACACATGGAAATGGCCATCGGATCTGAACTGCCAACTGGAAAAAACGCGGCCTACTCGAAAGTTTCATGGACAATTTATAAAACCAAACTAAAAGTAGAACAGCGAGCTTCACAATATAACAAACACAAACAAAACATGAACATCGCAGCTATAGAGCCTTCATCAGCACATACATAAATCAAACAAAACCACACGAATACACAAAATCATATGAACACATACATGATCATGAAGGTCTATAAACATAGCAACATGAGTTTTAGTTTCATCTACAAGGAACTAGCCGTTTGTATTGGGGGAGGGGCGAGGGGGGGGGGGGGGGGGGGGGCGCAAATCTCAAATTTCCTAGAAAAGATAAAACACAAACACGGTGTACTGTAAACAGTCTAAGAGCTGTGGATGTGGGCAAGTCACACTAGTTGATACCTCTCCATCTGTCCAGACAACTGTGTTATTGTGTGCTACAGGGCGGACTGGCAATCACAGCCAATGGCCAGAGGGAGTGTGACTTGCAAGACCCCATCATGTAACAAAAATTCCCTGATGCCCCAGTTCAGAGCCAAACAAGCTCTAAAACATAAAATGTTACCTTTGCATATTTCTCAGCTTCTAGAAGAACTTCTGGGGGTACAAGTTCGTGTCTTCCTCCAGTCACTGGGAACATAACATAACATACATCATAAATATTTAATCATGGAAAATTACACGGCTTCATAAATATTAGTTACTGGAAAAAAATGCACTCGGTTGGGGTGCAACTCCCTAGGGACTTACTATCCGACACAGCTTTATCTAAAATATTTTAGTTATGGCTTTGCCTTCCACATCTTTTTGGGGGTGGGAGGGCTATTATTCATTTCCTGTATTGACATGTGTCTGGAAGCTTCAACTGGTCTATAAGACATGGGTATTGTTCTTGGAATTACCACAGAAAAGTAATTTTGTGTACTCTCACCTGTTAATGTAACACTATCTATTCCTGCCATTTGCTGATGAAAGCTTTCTTGCCATTATATTTACTTTTTTTGTGATTATGAGAAGCTAACAGGTTCTAATTTTTGTCTGGTTAGAAATCATTTCATAAATATCTTTTACAAGGGATCGATCTCATACCCATTAAAACTAGTCCTTGGGGAAATTACTAAACAGTATGCTCTTAATAGGAACATCTGCGGCCAAACAGATAAGCAGCTTACCCCAGGCTTTGAAGATCCCAAGTCTGTAACAGGAACTGCAGTCTACTGTTCACCAGTGCAAACTGTAGAGATCCCTGAGGGTTGTCACTATAGCTATGGAGTTTGTGTTTTGTGATGCTCTTTGCAGGCAACAAAACCAAGCACAATGAAGTTGACTTTGTTAACTCTAAAACTATCTTTATACAATTTAGCAACATCTTGGTGTGTGCAGGAATTTTTGCCAGTGCAGGGAACATTTTTATTTTAGCGCTACTGGCACAAACAAGTCTATTGTAACCCCTTAATTTAAGTTTTTGAACAATAAACAAATCTGGATCAGGTGTCATGTTCTAAAACTTTACACTTTTAGCACAACACACACTAACAAACAGTGTGGTCTTTATCTTGCCATGCGTGTAAAGCAAGAGACACAACCCCCTCAAAACTGAACATATATTTTCTAATGACAACTACCGACCTTCTCCAACCCAACTCAGCTCCAGCTCAAAGGACTTGTCTTTAACCTCGTCGTGCACAACATAAATTCTGAATGAGCGAAACAAAACAGAATCAATGATTTTTTTATACATAGCATAAAAATATTAACAGGCAAATCTAATCATATGTCAAAAGAACAGACCAGAATTTCTGAAATATGCCTAATGTCCAGGCACAGAAATGTCCAAGGTTTGTTTTTTTAAATTGTCATTCAAAAGCCTCAACTCTTCTAGAATCAAGCTGATGATGATTTCACACTTTCTATGCCACAGCTTTTTTAACTTTGCAAGAATCATCTCAGAGTCTCAACCCTCTTGCCTGAGAAAAATGCTATCCTGGCTTTTGATGACATGATGTCTTTGGATAGTGCCCAGTATGCCTGTATGACAGTTTTGGTAGGGCTAGAACTCCAGTCAAGAAATGGTGGGGTATCATTATATTTACCACCTCTAAACAATTATTTAAAAAAAAATGTGGATTCACTGTGATGGCATACAATTTTATTGTTAAGTCACTCTGCTCTCAGCAGCAAAGTAACCAAAATCACTTTTAAATGGTCAGAGTGACAAATAATCACACTGTGAGTTCACTGGTCCACAGAGAGTTTATATTTTTGTAATGAATTCAGCTCAATTATCAAGTTATGATTAGAAGCAAAAATAGGATTACAAATCCAGTTGTACGCTAACTAATTCTCTCATGCTGCAGACATACAGTGTCCAAAAAGAAAATCATCTACAAAACACCAGAGTACTCACATTTTTGCAACTTCCTTCACCAGGTCCTTAATGGACATGTCTTTCATCTGAGAAAAGATTTAAATATGGGTTGTTATATATTTCTGTGTCATGTGATGATTCTGGTCACAGGCATGAGGTTAAGTCAACGCTGCTGTGCTGTCTATAAGGAAATACCCCACATCTCCTCTCAGGCGCAAGCAGGTTTTACACAACCTCATGCAAGACTCCTACCACATGTTCACAGCATACACCGTGGTTCCCCCCACTAACAAGCTGGCAGAGGATCACAAAGTTGGTGGCTTCAAGAGATGCAGTGTCCAGAAACTAAATCCTCAAGCACCAACACTCCCCACAGAAAAATTCATGTGAAAAATGAGTCTTGAAATAAAGTCCACCGACTGCAGTTCCTACTATATGACCACAGAATATGAAATATTTCTTTACCAAAGTGTTTTAGGGTCCTCAATGGAAGCAAAAATCACTAGCACTTTAAGATATTATATGTATGTCACACACACATACGTGTGTGTGTGTGACATACATACACACACACCATATGATTTCTTTGGACACATATTAACGGGTTAATAACTCTTGCACTGTGGAAGAATTATCTGTAGCTTTATAACACCACAATAGTGTACTGTTAATTTAAATGATATAATATAAGTAAGAACAGGTGACAACTTGATTCTAGCCAAGGAGACAAACAACAGGTTGATTCACTTAAATATCTTCATCAGTTTCCTGTGCAGGGTGTACAAAGTGGCACTGCTCATTAACCACTATCATGATCAGCTTTTACAGCCATCTTTTATTAGCCAGCACTCAGAAGCCCCCCCCCCCCCCCCCCCCCCCCCCCCCCCCCCCCCCCCCCCCCCCCCCCCCCCCAACAAAATGCGGTGTCAGTCAATTATCACTTTTCTCAATGTGAATTATAACTTTACATAACAAGAACAACTCCCACACAAAACTCTCTACCTTTAATTTCTCTATTTCTGTCTTTGCGTTCTGCTTGGCTTTCCCTATGGCACACCCATGGTAGCCCTAGTTAGAAGGAAGGAAAAAAACAAATATGTACATCATAAGTCTGGTAATTTTTAACAACTTGTTATCACAAGAAACAATTTAAATATACCGGTACTTCATTCTTCTACTGCCTTCCCGTCTATCCGAGCAAAATGTTTGCGCTGTGCCTGTTGACAGCTGCAATATTTGCGCTTTATGACTGACAAATCAGACTTCATCAGGGATCTGTTGTTTCGGTCCACATTTATATATTAAACACAAGAGTATTGAGAGATGCCTGTCTATAGTAGTGTAAACTTCTACAGTAGATTGCCAAACAGAGTTGTTCTCTTACTTATCTCAAGTCCCTCTTTTTTTGTCTGAGTGTAAACAATCGTCATTCTCTCCTCTTCCTTTTTAGTATTCACCGGCTGTAAACTCTAGCAGAAAGCCCTGGTTGTTTGTCCACTCCTGGACTTTAGTCTTGTCCCAGAAGTTGGATTTTACATGCACATCCATTATACTGATCTGGCTTATTTGTATGAAGCTGCTGGTTCCTCCCCTCTCAGGCGGATGCACTCCGACTACAAAGTTAGTCGACAGATTATCCTCACCGCACATAAAACCGTACAGATTTCTTGAGGCCTCAGAGATGTGGTTTTACAGAAGAATGCTTATAATTCCTTGCACAGCCAAAATTAGTTATCCAGATGTTTTGAAAGAGTTGAGGGTTTGAAGATAATATTCTTGTTCTGACCATGGTATAAGAAGATAGAAACCGAAATGTTACAACTGGAAAGATTTGTGGAAAAAGAGAGAGAGAGTCAGGAAGACAAAGTGAGATTTTTGACAGGCTTTTGTCATGGCACAGTATTAACGCTCAAACTGAAACATGCTGTCTGGAGATCATAAAAGGTGGACAGGAATGATCGCCCATACCAGTCAGCAAGGTACCCGATGAAGATTAGTTCCTCGACATGTCTCAAAGTTGTCTTAAAATACTCAGTACGTTGCCATGCATAAAATACAAATCTGATTTACCCAAGAGACTCCTGAAGGCTCTACAAGGTACATCTGGGGCCCATCCTCTTCTATGGATCCCAAGATCATGCTGACTCCAAACGGACGGACTGAGCTGTAGAGAGTGTAGGCGTGGACATACCCAGACACTCGTTCTGTCAAATGCTGATTGAGGAAAACAAAAAGATGACACATTTTAAGAGCATTCATTGAGTTTTTGTTTATAGCTGGTTTAATCTACAGGCTGACATATGAGCGAATACACATGCTGGTGAGTTTGGATTTGGCATCATGCCCCATTATCTCTCACTCTTATCTTCTCCTAAAGGACTTGAACTAAGACAGACATGCTCTGGTCTGTCCACACTCGTTTTACAGATCTAGCTTATCTGCATGCAGACTGTTGGTTCCTTGCCTCTCAGGTAGATGCACCCTGACTTCGAACGATGGTCCCAATTAGTCGACTGTTACAATGTGCTTATAGAGGAGGCAGTGGGTCTATTCTTGTTCTGCCCACAATGTGGCCCCGGAACTCACCAGGGGAGCAGATCTGCTCAAGATTGGTGAGATTTTGCAGCTAAAGCTTTCTGTAATTTACGGTAACTAATTCCCAACCAACCCTTCTGAGTCACCGAAAAAAACTGCGTAGGATTTTATGCAGCCCAAAAACAAAAAGCAAACCTTGAGTGGAATGGAATCTCCCTAATTATAACATGAAACGTTTATTACTGTGTTACTTTTTGCTGCTTTCATTATCAGCCCGGTTAGCACACTAGTGACTATCCTAAAACAACACTCACAAATACATAAGGACCTACTCAGAATGTTCTCTGATGGGTTAGGCTTCTGTGACAGCTTGCCTGAAAGAGATTTGGTCCCTCACCAGCTCTCCTGCACGATCCTGCCCAAGGTGACTCTGTCTTGTGCTGATCAGTCCCTGCCCCTCTAATACCCAGCACCATGCTCTCCTTTAGGGTCTACCCCAAATCATTGCGACATTTGATGTGATCAACGTTTTTAATTTTTAGAGACAAGGTAGTGTTTTTTATCTTGGAAAAAAAAACTGCGTTGGATTTTTTGCAGCCCAAAAACAAAAAGCAAACCTTGAGTGGAATGGAATCTCCATAATTATGTCTGTAATTGGATGCTTCATACCTCGCCCTCTCAATTAAGTGACGGGCGTCAGCATTTAAACCAGCAACTGCCTGCAACAGAAACAAACACTCAAATACAGTGTTTAATTTAACTCGTCAACACATAAATCAACACAGGCATAGTGAAGTTAGGGTACACAAACCACCCCGTGAAAATAAGGGATTTCTCCTTTTTCCTTTATTGTTTCATCTGAGAAACGTAACTGCACTGTACCAGATTACAGCATAACTGGGACATTTGCACCTTTTGATCGACACATCCAACTTCTTTTGGTAATCATTTTCTGGTTAGCCTTCCCGGTTAGTTCTGTGGAACCTTTCATAGAATCATTTGTGTTGCAACTTCATCATCACCTCATCTACAGGTATTCCCCTTAGAGAACTCATCCAGGACAGCCTCATACAGACCTCGAAGAAAACCAGATAGAACAGGTGCATTCCCCACCATCCATGAAGGGCCTCAAAAATGCAAAGCTGCTAACACCTGGCTCTCTGGTACTCGATTCACAACAAGAAATGATCACGCCCTGCACATGACTGCTTAACTCTACATCTGCAGAGTGAGCCTCCCACTTTCCACAAATCTGAGACTGACTACCCTCACATAATGAGTATCTCCTCAACACATTAAATACCTCTCACAGCCAATGGCAACTTTTATATGGGTGTCTTGGGGAGCTTAACAGAGTATATGAAAAGCATGCATTTTACATGGTTTCACCTTGTGGTCACACCGTCAAATGTGTCGTCAATGGTAGCAGACATTTTGATTTCTTATGGCATCCAGCAGCAGCTCTATGACAGATACCCGAACTTTGACTGCCATTTAGTAGGACACATGTTGCACAATTTGAACCTTGGCTGTCATTTAACAGAACACCCAACACTTGGTATCCCCTTACACACTGAGCGAACTGCCTTAACTTTCCCTCACACCTGTGACCAAAGTTATAGAACCACGTATGCAATTTAACCCCCTTGAGGAACCAGCCAGCTGTATAAAATTAAGAATCATGTGTTGTGTAAATATGAAAACAAAACCACAAAAATTACAGACTGAGTAAAGAGAGTCTGGTTAGGAGTCATTCTGAAGCTACATAATCTGACATGGCCATTTGACTGTACTAGTATTTATAGTTGCACATTTTCAGAACAACCTGACTGTTGTTCTAGCACCTGTCCCTACAGTCAAAATTTCATGTGAGACATCGCTGCCTTCACGCTGACATCCAGCAAGAAGTGCATGATGGAACAGAGCTGACAAGGGACCAAGTTCTTTTTTTTTTTTTTAGGAAGGCAGTGATGGAAGTGTAGTTCTGTCAAATGCACACACAGCCATTTGCATGCAATATCTGTTATTGAATGGCTCACATAGCCCTCTGCATGCAATATCTGTTATTGAATGACTTAATTAGTTGTTAGCTGTGTGGCCCTCATGATAACATAAATGTGACCCATACGGCTCTTGGCAGACCTTCAGTTTGACATACCTATGCCAGATAGGTTCTGGGCTACTAAAAAATGCAGAAAGAAAAGGCAGCTTCAAAATACGACCACCCATCGAGTGTCAACACAGCTCAACATGTGGCAAATGTTCTGTCCCTGTTTTCTACATGTAAAAGAGAAATGTGAATACGTACAGCTCCGACATGCCTGTCCACATTGAGGATCCTCTTGTTATCGCCAGCTTCATACAGTTTGGAGGTGATGAGTTTCTCGACGCCAAACACAACTCCATCCTTCCCTCGGATACCAACTGCAGTTCTGGGAAACAACCAGTAAATCTCAGTATAATCATAATCATCAATGTTATATATAGTCAGTAAAAGTTAAGTGCCCTTTTCCACGCCTTGATTTGTATTGAGCATATAGCGCTAGATCTATATCTTATAGGTCAATCGCACTTGGTTGGTGATGTGGTCAGCACGCCGGCTGTCTTAACACCCTAGGACTTTACCTTGTACCCACTGAAGGCTGGATCGAACTAGGAGCCCACCTACAAAATGAATATTTATTGCTTGTGTCTTGTTTATGCAGAGGACTTGTTGGCCGAGTGGTCAGAAAGATGGGTTCTCATGTAGGAGACCAGGGTTCGAGCCTTGGTAAGAAAATTAGATTTCTGTTGGGACAAAATAAAAATTATAGCTTGTTTATGACAGTGGCACTAGCAATTGGCCTTAAATCCTGAGGTTCACTACCTTCCCTCGCCCATCTTCCTATGCCACCAAAAGCTGTTAAAACAGGCAGCAAAGACAGCAGTTTTCCAAAAGGCAGTCAATGTTATACATACTTGGACCCTCATTGAGGCCGTGTGGAGATTCACTTTGTGTGCACTGTCCTCAACAAATATTTTTCTCAAGATTAGTTCAATAGTCAACAGCACAAGTTATCTAACCCAGAATGTTAGACCTTATCAGACATTCTATCACATGACCTGCTGGTACATTTCATGAACTTGTCCCCATCACTCCTGGCGCGAGGTTTTATTCATGTCGTCAACCATTTCCACGGGTTGCTTATGTTCCAGGTGTGTTAGCATGCATGCCCCTTTGATGCACACCATGTGCAAAATTGGCTGTCTCTCGTTCGAGGCCTGACACAAGGAAAGTCAGCAGCTCTCTTTCACTGCAGCTGACATTGAGCAAAAGGGATATTTTTTGTGAATGATTGCTTGGTCGAGTGTTCAATTAGTTTTCCTCTTTTTTTTATGTCAGATACTGCCCTGGCTTGACAATTGGTGACATTTTGGAGCAGGCCCTGAAAAGGCCTGTCTGGGAGGGTGGACTTAAAAAAAAATCAATCTCGAAGTTGAAGTCACCAAGTAAGGACAAATTGACAACATAGAAAATGGAACATGCTGGCTGCTCAAAGTGTGAAATATAGACTGCTCACAGTGCTGAAAATAACAAAACATGAATGTCAATGATGGCCACTCACAAAATGGAATATAGAATGCTTATAGCGTTGAAAACAACATGAAAGAAAACAACACAACACCCCTAGAACACAGTACAGCCTGTGGAGAATCTCGCGTGATGCGGGCACGTTCGTGATATTTACTGACCCACCATAATCAAGACTATCAACTGTCTCAACATCACCCAGGCTTTCTCTCACAGGACCTACCATCAAGAGGACAATCAACTGCCGTGATCCTTGTTTTTGTGATGGTGGTCACCCCCCCCCCCCCCCCCAACTACCCTAAGACCAGTACATAAGTACAATAAGTTTTGCATCACATCTTATCTGTGCTATCAGCTGTCCATTATTTATCCAGCCAACTGAAACAGACCGTTGCTTAGTTACTCACCCGCTATTTTCGACAGCCTTCTGGGCATATTCAACCTGAAACACCCTGCCATCAGGGGAGAACTGAGATGCTGACAAGTCGTACTGCAATATAAACATTTTTAAAAAAATTTATTTCATTTTAACAGGGAATGGTATGGAGCAAACAATTTTTCAGCAAACAGGCATCGCCTGTCTCTGAATCTTCTTCTTAGCACTCACCAGCTGTAAACTAAGGCGGAAAGTTCTGGTTGTCTGTCGCCTCATACAACATGTGTTTTTTTAGGGAGGCAGTGGGTCTCTCAAAATCCCCCCCCCCCCCCCTGAATAGGGCCATGGAAACCATTTGGGGATGTCTGCGATTGTGTGTGTATATATATATGAATGTATGTTTGCATGTGTATGAATATGTGTATATAAATATATACATGTGGCTGCTGGCGGGTTTGTACGACCTCTTTTGTTTGCATCCGACTAAACAGAAAACGCAGACAAGAAAGTCCAGCTGCTGTTGCAGCAGAAGTGCAGGTTCTGATTTTCAAGAATTCTTTACAGGGGGAATGTTGTCATTTATACAGATGGTTCTGTAACTTCACATGGGAGAAGATCTTGGGCTTTTACAGCACAGGTTGGAGTCAGAAATGTGAAAAAAGATTCTGGTCCTGTTGCCTTGACCACAAGTAGTTTGAATATGGAGGTCATGGCAGTGATCAAAGCAATAACATGGCTGGTGACACAGGCCTATTACCACACACACTTTCTTAGTGACTCACTAAGCATGCTCAGGAAGATAGAGAAAGGCTGGATCCGAAGGCAGTGGGTGGAGTCTCTATAGAAATCCGGGCTGACACATATTAGTTTAATATTTCTGCCAGGGCACGCAGGCGTGCAAGGAAATGAGCAAGCTGATCGGCTTGCAGGTAAAGCTACTGTGGAGCGCGGACAAGCAATGGACCATGCTGATATTCTGAATGCTTTTTGAGAAGTAAGACATTTGCGAGAACCAAGTAATGACTGTGAATTTGCAACCATGACCAGACTGCAAGAACAACATGTTAAAAGGGGTGTGGCCAGACAACAGCACTCAGCAGCAAAACCAAAGAAGAATAAGAACTAATGGAACTGGTGTCATGAGCCGCTACACACTGTGGGATCCGAGCACTTATAGACTGAACTGTTCAATGTGCAATGAGGTTAATCTGTCAACTAACTTTATATATGGCTAAGTTATTAAGCCATATGCCTCAGGGAAAGTTGTAGGCTTCCTGGGAATCGTTACTTGAGCTCTATCCTGCCAGCCTCATTAGTAGCGGTAGATAACCATAAATGTAGATGCTTACTTCAAACTAGTGAACTATCTGCCATTTTTTAAAAGGTTAATTATGTCACAGAAGCTAATACTGGATCATTTTTGTGATCCTCGTGTCCATATCATCATCCTGCATAAAATGGTATGCATCTTGCCAGACTCGCTGACTGGCATCCGATAATATGGTGTTTACTGAAAAATAGTCACATGGCTGCCATTTTTATATGTTAAATAGGCCCAGACTTCAGACCTTACTGCCTTATACAATTATGATAGTTACTAAGGAAACTTTTTTAAAAATGTTATAACCACAAAATGCCACAATTTAGTGGTATCTATATCAACCTTACAGTTTACTGGGTCGCAAGTCAGTGTCATTCATTTGGATTACACTATGAGTCTACGTTGGTATCCACAACTAAAATGTTAATAATAATGCTTAGAATTTACAGGCTGTATTAAGGTATTGCTGGATTGGAAATTTTAATTTATATCCAGCTGTGATGATTTCAGTAAAATCCCAATATATAATAAACAGGCTCTTCTCTGAACTTCGTCTCCATATTATGGCGGCCAAACAAATACCCCAACAGGGCTTCAGTGTGTAAAATGCGGACTTCCTCCGATGAACACATCGCAGCAAAACTAGGATTACTATCCGTTGACAATTTCGAGAAACACAACAGTACACACGATAATAGTGACATGGTGAAAAGACCACGCGCTCCGACACAGGTTAGCGAGTGTTCTTCGGCACGGATGGGGGGCTAAACTAGATGGCTGGGACTCCCAAGCAGCAGCTACCGCATCTCCTGCAACTTTCTCCAGTTTATTTGCTCATGAGCCCCAGCCATCTAGTTTAGCCCCCCCATCTGCGCCGCGCGTAGCGGTGCGGGGGATACTGTTGGCGATGCAGCACAGTCGCAGAAACAGGTCAGCAATTAACATATCGTTGAGACCCTGTTAGAGTATTTGTTTGCCCTCGATAATATTGGCCCGTTATTCTTAGTTTTGCTGCGATTTGTTCCTCAGCAGGCACTCTGCATTTCACACATGACTGAGGCCCTGTTAGGATACTTGTTTGGCCGCCATAATATGGGGACGAAGTTCAGAGGAGAACCATAAATAATATAAAAACTTGGGCTATCTTCCGAATAGTGGTCCCAAATTATCGAGGCCAAAAATATACCCTAACAGGGCCTCAGTCACGTGTCAATTGCAGACTTCCGGTGACTTAAATTGCGCACTTCCGGCAACTACCGCCACAGCCGAGAGTATCTCCCATGCCGCTACACGCAGATTGGGGCTAAACTAGAAGGCTGGGACTCACGAGCAGCAACTACCGCATCTCCTGCAGCTTCCTTAATTTTATTTGCTCGTGAGTCCCAGTCATCTAGTTTAGCTTAGCCGGAATCGACGCCGCGCGTAGCGGCTTGGGAGATACTCTGCTCAGTGGCGGAAGTCCACAATTTACACGTAACTGAGGCCCTGTTAGGGTATATTTTTGGACTCGAAAATTTGGGACCCTTATTCGGAAGATAGCCAAAGCATCCCATTAATAAATAACTATACTTATTTAACCAAGTGAATTTCATATTCATTATTTTTTTTTTTATTCATTGTCATTGTCTGCTGCAGTGAGTTGTGTTGCTGCTCGCTCTGACTTTTCGCAGATCAACGGAAACTAAGAATCTTGAAAGAATCTAATTACACAGACTTTGAGGCTCTCCTGTCAACTACGGCTGGTAGACAACAGTAGACGGCCGGTTAGTCAGAGTTCTGTCCCTTGGCTACAGTGCAATTACGGAGTGGAAAAGGAGGGAACGAAACAATTGACACAATTACTGTATGTTGGCGATAGACAGCTTGCACTGCCCTGCTATAATCATACGGTTACGGTGTGGGTTAGGGATTGGGTTAGCGTTGCGGTTAGTGTCGCCGCATCTCGTCTTCACAGAAACTCAACGTAGCAACCCAAACCCTAACCGTATGATGACAGTAGGGCACTGCATGCTGTCTATCGCCAACACACAGTAATTATGTCACTTGTTTTCTTCCCTCTAATCCACTCTGTAATGCGTCACAAGAAGCGGTAATTGAACGCGGTCGCTAGCTTGAGTCGCAGCGCGGGTTCTGCCAGGCATTTCGACCTCACTTTGTTTTTTTGATTTGTGCCTTCTCCAGTCAGTAATTGCACTGCAGCCAGGGGACAGAACTCCGACTAACCGGCCGTAAACTGTTGTCTACCGGCCGTAGTTTACAGGAGAGCCGATGATGAATGATGACTACTCGTTACAGTTACTGGAATTATTTTTGTAACTTTTAGAAATCCTAGAATGGAAAATAAGTCATGCAGGTACTTCACTTCAAATGAGAGAAGTCAAACGGGCTAGTCTGTGTACAGTCTGAGGTAACTGATAACTACTGGTACGAAATAAGTCAGTTACGTTAGACTTGCCCGGTGAGACTAGTCACTGGGGACAGTTTTGTCAGTTTTGACTAATTTTTTTTGTTCAGCCACTCACTGCTTCGATGCAAGAAGACAAAGTAAATGCCGACGACTATACACAACATAGACATTGTCTTTCGTTTACCACACTTCTGTTTAAACACTGAGTTTATTACACAGCAGAAAGATGGACAAGAGAGGAATCCACAAAAGAAATACTTACACCGGTGCCTATGGAGCTCATGTTGTTGGCTTCGTCTTCGGTCTAAAAGCTTTGTCATAAACATTAAAATGTTTAACTACTTCCGTCTTGAAATAAGAAAACTATTTTCATATTTGGCAGAAATATTAACAGATGGTTTAAAATTATAATTCCTTCAAATTATCAAATAAGCATTCAGCTTTAAAATTTAATATAGAAATTATTTTTTGAATGTTAAATTAATTAACTGTTTGCTTTTTGTGTGCATTGTTTTGTAATCTAAAATACATAAAAAGTGTCCCTAAAATAGAAAATTTCCCAAAGCGGGCGCTACCGCCCCGTGTTCCCCCGTTTAGTTTACTCCCCCTCACCTCCACCCCCGGGGGGGGGGGGGGGGCTCTTGGACGGTCTAGGGGGTGGTAGCAGCCTAGGTCAAATTTGAGGGGCGTTGGAACGGCCTAGGGATTGAAAGGAGCCAAGGGTGCAGTTAGCAACAACAACAACAAAAAAAAAACCACAGCAATATCTGTAAGGTCTTTTAGGTCTCCCCAAAGCTTAGTTGTCAGGTCTACTGGGTGTTGTCATATGTTGCTCTGCAGCTCCGCCAAGAGAGGACAGTCTTGCAGGACATGTTCTAGAGTCTGTTCAGCACGAAGACACTGGCAGAGAGCTGTTTGGCTCATACCTAAGTTATATGAGTGTTTGTTGAGTCTGCAGTGTCCAGTGCGTAAGCGGAAAAAACTGTGACCTGGTCTGTTCTGTTCAGGCGTTTGAGAAAATCGTTTCCATGGTCATAACCAGTGTTGGTTTTTAAATATGTTTCTGATTTTCTCTTGATAAGAGATTTTACTTCTGGAAAAGATAGTGGCTGGTAGATTTGTGGTTTGTTACTGCCTTCCTAGGCTAAAGCATCAGCGCTTTCATTGCCTTTGATACCCCAGTGAGATGGAATCCACTGCCGGTGAGTTTCTGCCGTTTTGAGAACATAGCAAGTTCCTTGACAACATAGCAAGTTCCTTGACAACATAGCAAGTTCCTTGACAACATAGCAAGTTTCTTTGTTAGGCTTTGTTGTGTGCTGTCAGTAATTTTGGACCCAAGAGCCTGTATGGCTGACAGTTAGTTAGTTAGTTAGTTAGTTAGTTAGTTAGTTAGTTAGTTAGTTAGTTAGTTAGTTAGTTAGTTGGGTTATCCTCATTGTACTCCGGACATGTCCATAGGTGCTCAGATCCTCCCCTCAGTATGAACCCCAACGTCCGATGGCTAATAGTACCAGTTCTATGTTGATTAACAAGTCTTCTGGCGTAGCTGGTGTGCGTCTCGTTTTTTGCTGTGCCGATCTTAATTCCCAAGTCTGCCATTCTGGCGAGTGATGTGGATTCACTGCCACCAAAGTCGTCTATCCTTCCCATTTCTCTGAGGGCATTGATAATATCAGCATGATCCATAGGCTGACCGTCGGTAGTGATAGCGGATCCAGCCAACCTGTCAGCTCTTTCATTTCCATCGACGCCTGCGTGTCCCGGAACAAAAATAAAGGTGACTCCACGGACAGTGGACTTCTGTAATGATTCAAGCCATTGTCTTCGCACTGAACCTGCCTGAACCCTCCGGATCATACTCATTGAATCACTGAGTATACACACGCGGGTGTATTTTTGTGTTTCAAGCCAGGCAAGCGCTTGTGTCACTGCCATCATCTCCATCGTCATGCTGCTGGTTGTCATGGAGAAGGCGCCTCTGGCTTCTTTGACTGTTCTGCCCGCTGAGCGTGCTGTAAATGCCCATGCGCTTCTTCTTTGGCGTATAACGGATCCGTCTGTATAGATTATTGCATCTGCTTCGTCTGAATTTTCACCGATGAGAGCGTTGACCTCTGCATTAACAGCAATATGATTCTCTTCTCTACATCGCCTGTTGAGTGTGACAATACAGGAAAATGTACAAATAAACGCCTGAGGCACAGGTATCCATTCTGCACCAGGTATGATGTCGGTTAGGCTGCATATTTGCCTAATAACATCTTCTGCCCGACCTAGCCACGATTTCCCCCTCTTCAGTCTGTCGCCCTTTTCACTAAAAAGCGCTTGATGCAGTGGGTGTTTCTTATCAGCACATATTTTGAGATATGCCCGAGCCCTCCACATCCTGATCCTTTGGTTCATTGTTGGAAAGTCAAGTAGATACCTCATTGCTCCACAGGATGTGTCTCTAGTACATCCCAAAATAATGCGCATGGCTTCATTTTGCACCTTTTCGAGTCGTTCAATCTGGGTAGCACTGACAGTGAGGATGGCCAGAGCGTATTCAATGGGGGAAAGGACCAGACCGTAGAATAAAAGTATTAGTAGTCTTTGCTCAATGTTGGAAGCAGCCATAATCCTCATTGCAGATAGACCTTTGCGTGCTTTTGTTATCACATGGTCAACGTGTTCCCTGAATGACAAGCTGCGATCGAACCTCACCCCGAGAAACGTCATAACGTTGGTTCTGATCAATACATTATCACGCATTTTCACTGCTGGTAAGTCCGACTTGACAATGTGATTGTTCAAAGAGAACCATGACACTGATGCCTTCGAAGGATTGACATAGGCATTGGAACCATCACACCAGGCGGCAATTCGATCGAGTTCTTTGTGCATAGTGCTGGCGATCTCCTGTCTATCACGCCCTCGTCGATAAATCAAAATGTCATCAGCAAATGACAAAGTCCTCCCCTTTCCATTCAACTGCTGCTCAGTGATCATCACCGTATAAACGTTGAATAAGACTGGTGATAGCGGTGATCCCTGTGGCAAGCCTGGACATATCGTGTGGCTGACAGTGAGTGTGAAAAATACCCATCTTGGCTTCGGTGATTTACATGTTGTTCATTTACGATGCTGAAGTTAAATCTGGTGTAAGCTGCCAGGGACACGGCAGTGGCATCTGTGTGTTTAATGTAAACACCTGCCCCACCATTCGTAGTTACCCCTTTTGCTGATCCATCTGTGTGGATTCTCGTCCAGCTGTCCTGTGGGAACATGTTGTTGGGGTGTTCCATTGTGAGTGCTTTCTTTACTAAACTGGGTTCAGCACCTTTCTTTCCCAGGTTCGGGATGGATGCTGAAACATTGAATGCCAATAATTCTGAGTCCCAGAGATCGAAAAATAGCTCTTCGTATGCACATTGTTGATTTAGTAGTGAAAAGTATGACTTTCAGAATTCTTTAGTTAGATGGTTTAGGCTTGTGCGCTTTATTCGGTTCTTTGTCCCGGTTGCCAATTTTTCATGCAGTGGGTGACTTGGCGTTCTCTTCATTTTTTTTTTTCGCTTGTAGAATTGCTTTGGTCCTTATTCATCTAAGGGGTGGATGTCGGCTGCCTTTTCCATTTTTGAGATAGGTGTAGATTTTATGGCTCCCAGAATTGTACGCAGACTTCGGTTTTGCGTTTTGTCTAGTACCTGTTTATTGGAATGTGCACGCCCTTCTGTATATAACAAGAGTTGGCCGTGGAATGGGCTGTTGTTATCCATGACGATGATGCGTATTCCAGATTTGGTCTGACTGTGCCGGCGTATACAGTGGTACCTCTCTTAACGAGCATAATTCGTTCCAGAATCATACTTGTTAAGCGAAACACTCATTATACGAAACAATTTTTCTCATATAAATTAATGTAAAATACGATAATGTGTTCCATGTCGAAAAAAATACTCACAAAATGCTATGTATAACGTTTATTCAAAGGAAATTATATACATATTGTTAAGTCAAGTGAATCACCTTCATTTTTTCTTCACCTGGAATGCGAATTCGATTTGCGGAAAGGGGGTTTGGGGAGGGGTTGGGGGGGGGGGGGGAAGTCCAAATAATAATGAGACAAAGCAAAATTTTTATTTTTACTAGAAAGATGTCCAGAGACATTTGTTTTTGTCGATGCTTCACAATTGGCAAAAATGCGACACGGCATTATCATTAAATACATTTGCAACGCGCATAGCCACTTCCTTATTAAGGTGATGCTTCTCAATGTAAGATGCAACAGTTGGCTATGCTTTCAGCATTTCTCTTATTTCGCCAGAAGATTTTTGCTTTTCTGATATCTCCTCCTCCTCTGACAAACTTTCCTCCAAAACTTCTTGCTGTGAAACACAATGCAACTCTGTAAGCTCTTTGGTGGTCAGCTCTTGGCTGTGCTCTTTCACAAGCTTTCCGATATCACTGTTATCCATCTACAATCCCATGATAGTGGCCAAAGACACAATCTCATTGACTACAGGTTCCACAGGTACTGCCTCGAGCGCCTCAAAGTCACAAATCGACAACGCTCTCCGGCCAAAGCTTCTTCCAAGCAGAAGTTAGGGTTCTCTTGGTAACCCCTTCCCCCGCCTTGTCAATCATCTTGAGACAGTCAACGATGTGGAAGGGATTTTTCTCCAAAACTCTTTGAGAGTGAGGTTGGTTTCTTCAGTCATCTGAAAATAATGCTCGAAGAATGCTTTAGTGTAGAGCTTCCTAAAGTTAGAAATAACTTGCTGGTCCATGGGCTCGAGTAACGGAGTGGTATTGGGAGGCAGAAACTGGATCTTGATGAGCTTAAATTCTTCAGGGAGATTTGATATGAGAATGACAGCATTAATGGTTATTCCAACCATCTAAACAGTGGTGGCAGTTCTCCGTCAGCTATGTCAACCACCTAAACAGTAGTGGCAGTTTTTCCCTCATTTATGTCAACCCCCTAAACAGTAGTGGCAGTTTTTCCCTCATTTATGCCAACCACCTACACAGTGGTGTCAGTTTTCCCTTGTTTATGCCAATTACCTACACAGTGGTGTCAGTTTTTCCCTGTTTATGCCAACCACCTACACAGTGGTGTCAGTTTTTCCCTGTTTATGCCAACCACCTACACAGTGGTGTCAGTTTTCCCCTGTTTGTGCCAAGCACCCAAACAATAGTGGCATTTCCCCCCTCATTTATGCCAAATACCTACACTGTGGTGTCAGTTCCCCCTGTTTATGCCAACCACATAGACAGTGGTGTCAGTTTTCCCCTGTTTATGCCAACCATCTACACAGGGGTGTCAGTTTTCCCCTGTTTATGCCAAGCAATTAAACAGTAGTGGCAGTTTCCCCCTCATTTATGTCAACCACCTACACTGTGGTGTCAGTTCCCCCTGTTTATGCCAACCACCTACACAGTGGTGTCAGTTTTCCCCTGTTTATGCCAAACCACCTTAACAGTGGTGGCAGTTTTCCCTTGTCAATGCTAACCACCTAAACAGTGGTGGCTATTTTCCCTTGTTTATGCTAGCACCTAAACAGTGGTGGCAGTTTCCCCCTTGTTTATGCCAACCCTAAAAAGCGGTGGCTGTTTCCCTTGTTTATGCCAACCCCCACCCCCCAAACAAAAGTGGTGGCAGTTTTGACTTGTTCACGCCAAACCCTTAACAGCGGTGATAGTTTTCCCTTGTTTACGTCAACCCCTAAACAGCCGTGGCAGTTTTCCCTTGTTTACGTCAACCCCTAAACAGTGGTGACAATTTTCCCTTCTTGTTTACGCCAACCACATAAACAGTGATGTCAGTTTTCCCTTGTTTATGCCAACCACCTAAACAGTGGTATCAATTTTCCCTTGTTTATGCCAACCACGTAAACAGTGGTGGCAGTTTTCCCTTGTTTACGCCAACCACCTAAACAGTGATATCAGTTTTTCCCTTGTTTATGCCAACCACCTAAACAGTGGTATAAGTTTTCCCTTGTTTATGCCAACCACCTAAACAGTGGTGGCAGTTTGTCCTTGTTTATGCCAACCACCTACACAGTGGTGGCAGTTTTCCCTTGTTTACGCCAACCCCTAAACAGTGGTTGCAGTTTTCCTTGACTATGCCAACTACCTAAACAGTGGTGGAAGTTTTCCCTTGTTTACGCCAACCACCTAAACAGTGGTGTCAGTTTTCCTTTGTTTATGCCAACCACATAAACAGTGGTAGCAGTTTTCCATTGTTTATGTCAACCACATAAACAGTAGTGGCAGTTTTCCCTTGTTTATGCCAACCACCTAAACAGTGGTGGAACTGACTGACTGATTTTCTACCCCACCAGGACATCACACAAGCGATAAACACCCGATGACACAAAGTGCCACCATTTGGATTAGGATCGCCGTGGAGAGGTCCTAGAAACCGCGTTCGGACAATTGGCCATATTTATGGCCTGCCTATATTGCGGCCCCTGACAAAAGCCAAGGTGGGGCTTCAAATAACAAAAAATTTCGTCCTAAAAAGGACAAAACTGGATGATTTTACTAGATGAAACTAACAGTAGTGGAAGTTTTCAACCTGCAGACATCCGATCAGATCCGACCAATCGCAGGAGGCGACACATCCATGTCGGAGACGACTTCTGCAACATCTCCGCTTGTTTGGGGGAGGATTTCACCCAACCACTTCTAGAATGATCGCCTTTTCTGTCGTTTTGTAACTTGTTTACTACATTTTTGACCTTTTAGATATGGCCGAACAGTCAAGGAATTCTTGGATTAGCAAAGGTTTGATATTTACTTTGTTTAGTTTGCGTTTCAATAAATTTTATAAATCGCCGGACACAAGTTGAACTTCAACTTGAAGTTGCCGGCTTTAGTCTGTTTACTACATTTTAGTAGTAGTAGTAGTTATACTGTAGTAGTAGTACTGTAGTAGTAGTAGTAGTAGTACTGTAGTAGTAGTAGTAGTAGTAGTAGTAGTAGTAGTAGTAGTAGTAGTAGTAGTAGTAGTAGTACTGTAGTAGTAGTAGTAGTAGTAGTAGTAGTAGTAGTAGTACTGTAGTAGCAGTAGCAGTACTGCAGCAGTAGTAGTAGTTGTACTGCAGCATAGTAGTACTAGTAGTAGTAGTATCAGTTCAGTAGCAGCAGTAGTAGTACTAGTAGAAGCAGTAGTAGTAGTAGCAGTAGTAGTAGGTGTAGTAGTAGTAGTAGTAGTACTAGTAGTAGTAGTAGTAGTAGCAGTAGTAGTAGTAGTAGTAGCAGTACTAGTAGTAGTAGTAGCAGTACTAGTAGTAGTAGTAGCAGTACTAGTAGTAGTAGTAGCAGAGTAGTAGTATTAGTATTAGTAGAAGTAGTAGCAGCAGCAGCAGTAGTAGTAGTAGTAGTTGTAGTAGTAGTAGTAGTAGTAGTAGTAGTAGTAGTAGTAGTTGTAGTAGTAGTAGTTGTATTAGCTGTAGTGTAGTAGTATTAGTAGTCGCATGGTGACTACTTAGAAAGTTAGTCACTACGCTATTCTAGCTTTATTAGTCATTAAGGGACACAATCTTAAAGAGTACAGTTACTCTCAACTTCTAAGTTGTTTGTAACATTTATAATTTAATGAGAACCTCTCCATCTATTTCTCTCTTCCCCAAACATTTCTAGCCACCTCTCCCCCCTCTCCAATGTATGTTCATGTTTACTTTTGTGAAATAAGTTAACTGTAGTAGCTGAGTAGCTACAGTCTTGTTATTTTGATAAAACACACATACACCCAACACATCACATACATAAATTGCAGCATGGCGGAATGTGTACAACCTCTCTTAGCTATAGCTCTGGCGGAAAGTGTACAACCTTTCTCAGCTATAGCTCTGGCGAAAGTGTACAACCTCTCTCAGCTATAGCTCTTGCGGAAAGTGTACAACCTCTCTCAGCTATAGCTCTGGCGGAAAGTGTACAACCTCTCTCAGCTATAGCTCTTGCGGAAAGTGTACAACCTCTCTCAGCTATAGCTCTTGCGGAAAGTGTACAACCTCTCTCAGCTATAGCTCTGGCGGAAAGTGTACAACCTCTCTCAGCTATAGCTCTTGCGGAAAGTGTACAACCTCTCTCAGCTTTAGCTCTGGCGGAAAGTGTACAACCTCTCTCAGCTATAGCTCTTGCGGAAAGTGTACAACCTCTCTCAGCTATAGCTCTGGCGGAAAGTGTACAAACTCTCTAAGCTATAGCTTTGGCGAAAAGTGTACAACCTCTCTCAGCTATAGCTCTGGCGGAAAGTGTACAACCTCTCTCAGCTATAGCTCTGGCGGAAAGTGTACAACCTCTCTCAGCTATAGCTCTGGTAGATTGTTGACAGCAATTTTCATGAAACATGTGCAGCATAATCATAACACAGTGTTGACCTGATAATGAGAACTCACCCCTTCTTATCAGGAATTCCTCTCATCCAGGGAAGAGTTCAACCAACAAAACTTTCCTGGCGTAAAAAAAAAATTTTGATTTTTTTAATAACAGAAATTTGCCACATCCAAGATCACATTAAGCAGTCTGTACTGTTGAATTCTAGCTTGGTATGAGATTTAGTTTTTAATGTTTATGTAGGTACTGACCATTGAACGACATGAATTACATTTATTGTTAGTATGCATAAGTGATGTTTAAATTAGGGCTGTACCAAATATTCGCTTCGTATTTGCTTCAGGGCCGAATAGTGGCCCTAATAACTATTCAGTATTTGGCTGAATACTTGCGGTCGGGCCAAATACGAATAGTGGTTACCTTACACCTGTTTCTGTATACACTGAAATAACTCTCTCATTAACACAATAGTTGCTGTTGCTTAAGTCTGTCGTAGCGGGGAAAACAGCCACCAGGTTGCGTGGTACAGGAGCTGGCAAGATTTTTGCCTACTGACTCGACCGAGGCATTACAGCAGAGGTTCTCAAACTGGGTGCATATGCCAGGGGTGCAGCGGCGAAAATCCAGAAAAGTCGCCTATGAATTGTGACATTATGAAAGAAGGCATGAAGATACTTAAAAGTTAAAGTTTAAATTATCTTTCCTCGCCACTGTATATATATATATATATATATATATATATATATATATATATATATATATATATATCATACTGCATAAAATGCCTACCGCATCGTGCCAAAAATTGTCTTTGCATTTATCTTGAGGTGCGACCGACCCTCCATCTGTATTCGTGAAGGTGCAGCGGATAAGTAACAGTGTGATTACATTTTGGCTTAAATTTTAAAGTGGAAAATGCGGTCTGTACAATAGTAACTGTTAGCCTCGTGGAGTGAGCACTTATATTTAAAGGCAATGCGCTGTAAGTCCTGGACAATCGGTAGGCAGGCCAAACAATTTCTTGAGGCCTCAGATATGTGGTTTTACAGAACAATGCTTAAAATACATTGGAAAGCTACAAAAAAAAACTCAAAGAGGTTTTGAAAGAGGCGGGAGCCTGAAGACAACTAATCACAGACATCAGAAGGAGACAGTCACCATTTTTCGGCCATGTTATGAGAAGATGGAAAATTGAACATGTGGTGACCACTGGAAAGATCTGTGGAAAGAGGGAAAGAGAAAAACAACGAGAGAAGATTCTTGACAGTCTTGTTGCATGGCATGGAGGTGTGTCAGCGCACGAGCCAATACATGCTGCAGGAGATCGCAGGTTGTGGCAAGGCACCTGATTATGATGATACACTATTCGTATTCGTATTCAGCCGAATAGTTGATCCGGCTATTCGGCCGAATAGTGAAAATCACTATTCGGCACAGCCCTAGTTTAAATATCATTTTTTGTTAAGGTCATTTTGAGTGTGTCTATGTGTGTCTGTGTCTGAGTGTGTATGTGTGGATCGTTGGGGGAATTTGATTTGAGATGTGGTCAATGTTATTGTAGCCACACAAATAAAATACTGGCAGATCATCTATGTGCCCATAAGGCATGACCAGGATTGGCACACCATGCTGCAGATAACATTTGTGCACACATGGATTATGAAGGCTTGGCTATATAGATGGTCAGAAGGCAAGATCACTGACTTGATCCGTGATTCTGTTGATTGTGTGAGAGAAAAAAACATTACCACCTACGCTTATCGGCACAAGACATGATGGTGGACTGGCACCACACACAGCAGTGAAGTTTTGTGTATGTGAAGATACCAAGTATCCCAAACCTCCAGATCACGTTTGTTGTGCACATGGGATTTGGTGCCCTAGGCAGCTGATGACATAATCGAAGACTATCCTAAATGTGGTGTATCAAGACAATTCTTCTGGGCTAGGGAAACAACAGTAGAAGCAACATTTCAGGCACTGTTGAGGAAACTGATACAGGAGACATGTCAGAGATAGTTTAAAGTGAATGAAAGAAGTATAATTGAATAAATGCCCCATGTTTTACTGTTCATATTAACAGTGACTAACAAAGACAGACTCACAGGCCTAACCAAGCAAACATAGATGGGAATAGGATGCAGTCCACTTCTGTGACCAGTATGTTACATGCTTTGGTATAGGTCAATAACACACTCTTCCTTGCTGCACTAACACTAGTCTTAACCATAATCTTACCGTTAGCCATATTCTTGTCCTTAATCATTAGCCATATTCTTGTCCTTAATCATCAGTCATAATCTTGTCCTTGAATCATTAGCCAAAATATTGCCCTTGAATCAATTGCTATAATATTGTCCTTGAATCATTAGCCATAATATTGTCCTTGAATCATTAGCCATAATATTGTCCTTGAATCAATTGCTATAATATTGTCCTTGAATCATTAGCCATAATATTGTCCTTGAATCATTAGCCATATTCTTGTCCTTAATCATTAGCCATAATCTTGTCCTTGGATCATTAGCCAAAATATTGCCCTTGAATCAATCGCTATAATATTGTCCTTGAATCATTAGCTATAATATTGTCCTTGAATCATTAGCTATAATATTGTCCTTGAATCATTAGCTATAATATTGTCCCTGAATCATTAGCTTTAATATTGTCCCTGAATCATTAGCTATAATATTGTCCTTGAATCATTAGCTTTAATATTGTCCTTGAATCATTAGCCATAATATTGTCCTTGAATCATTAGCCATAATATTGTCCTTGAATCATTAGCCATAATATTATCCTTGAATCATTAGCCATAATATTATCCTTTAATCATTAGCCATAATATTGTACCTGAATCATTAGCTATAATATTGTCCTTGAATCATTAGCCATAATATTGTCCTTGAATCATTAGCCATAATATTGTCATTGAATCATTAGCCATAATATTGTCCTTGAATCATTAGCCATAATATTGTCCTTGAAACATTAGCCATAATATTGTCCCTGAATCATTAGCCATAATATTGTCCCTAAATCATTAGCCATAATATTGTCCCTGAATCATTAGCTATAATATTGTCCTTGAATCATTAGCCATAATATTGTCCCTGAATCATTAGCCATAATATTGTCCTTGAATCATTAGCTATAATATTATCCTTGAATCATTAGCCATAATATTGTCCTTGAATCATTAGCTATAATATTGTCCCTGAATCATTAACTTAATCATTAGCTATAATATTGTCCCTGAATCATTAGCTATAATATTGTCCTTGAATCATTAACCATAATATTGTCCTTGAATCATTAGCTATAATATTGTCCTTGAATCATTAGCCATAATATTGTCCTTGAATCATTAGCCATAATATTATCCTTTAATCATTAGCCATAATATTGTCCCTGAATCATTAGCTATAATATTGTCCTTGAATCAT